AGTGCATGCAGACGGCCGTTGGGTGGCTGTGGGGTTGGGAGACGGATCCCTCAACATCCTGCAATATACATGTCAGCAACTGCTGCTGCTGCTGCTGCTGCTGTTGCTGTTGCTGTTGCTGTTGCTGCTGCTGCTGCTGCTGTTGCTGTTGCTGTTGCTGTTGCTGCTGTTGTTGCTGCTGGTGCTGATGCAACAGCAGCAGCTCTGGTTGTTTTTGCTGCTGCTCCAAGTGATGCTGCCTTTCTTTGTGGCTGTTGTTTGCGTAAGTTGCTGCTGCAGCGGGAGGAGGAGGAGCAGCAGCAGCAGCAGCAAGTGCAGCAGCAGCAGCAGCTCAGCTGCTGCAATATGCATTTGGTGTTTGTGTTTTGCTGCTGCAGCAACAGAAAGAAACGCATGTCTGAATTGGAAGCCCTCTGCTCGTTTGTCTCCTCATCAAGCAGCACTAACTCAGCTCTGTCTCCTCTCGCTGCAGCAGCAGCAGCAGCAGCAGCAGCAGCAGCAGCAGCAGCGACAGGAGGGGGTACGGGAGCTGCTGCTGAGCTGCGGCGACGACAGAAGGCTTTGTGTCTTCTCGCTGCAGCAGCAAAAGCTGCTGCTGCTGCAGCAGCATTTGCTTCCATATAAACCAAATGCACTCAAGGCCTCCCAGCTTTGCTGCTGCGGCTGCTGCAGCAGCAGCAGCAGCGGCAGCAGCAGCTGCTGCTGCTGCAGCAACAGCAGCAACGAGACAGTGCGCGTGTTTGTGGGAGATGTGAGCCCCGATATAAAAATTATAGACCTCCGCGTCTAAACCCTAAACCCTAAACCCTAAACCCTAAACCCTAAACACTAAACCCTAACAGGGGTTTGACTGCATGCAAACAGAAAAGCTTTTTATCTCTTTGTTTGTTTTTTATGTTGCTCTCTAACTATTTATTGTTTATTTATTTTGTTTTTATCTTCTTCAGTCTTGTTTGTTTAATTAATCAAGCAATTATTTACTTTTAAATGCATTAATTAATTAATTAATTTATTTATTTTATTTGTTTGTTTATATATTTACTGTGATTTATATATTTAATATAATATTATGGGTATATTATATTATATATATTATTAATATTATTACTAATATTATATATATATATTAT